CGATGAAGCAGGACCAGTTGTTTGCAAATCTTACTGAAACTCAGATTTTCAACTTTTTGTCATGAGGATGCGAAGCTTAGGTCATAGCCTGGGCTGATTGGCCAAATGTTCTCTCTGTCCATGTGTTGTTATTTGCCTTTTTCAGGCATTTGGTCTGAGGGTGTCAGGGTTAATGATGGTCAAGTTACATGAGGACTGTACAAGCAGACAGGCCCAAACAAGAGACCTATATGAGTGTTCCTACTGAAACCCTATAGTGTGGCATAAGCAACAGCTGCGTTGGGCTTTCTGGGTGACCACTCACTCCCTAGTTAAGAGACAACAGAGGGAGCTGAAGATAATGTGGGCAGTCAGGGAGATGCCAGGCTTTTTTATTTCTGTTGTTCACAAAGTCTCTTTTAATGTTGCTCCTCCCACCTTCATCCCAAGTACACTGGCAAAATAAATGCAAAATAACCTTTATCTCTTCAATATGAGTAGCACAGATCTCAGTAGTGCTATTGGGTAACTAACGTTGAGTTGAATTTGTTTCAGAAATTCTGTTGTATAACTAATCCTGTGCTCCCTGAAGTCATGGTAGCCCACTGGCATAATTACCTATGTTGCTTCCAAGAGGTTTAGTAATACTGCCAATTCAAAGTGGACAAAGTGGACGATCAGGGCATGTTATACAGATTCTTTGCTTGTGTATTTAAAATGCAAGACAGCAAAGAAGCAAAGCCTTCTCTGCTTCATGCCATTAAAAACTTGTTTTCTGTAAAAGAAGAATGCAGGAAAGAGTTGCTAGACGTCAGCAAGCAAGTCTGTTCAGCAACAAAGTCTCCATGGAGTCTCAGGAGCCACCATCTCCTTTCATTTCAACTAAATGAGAAAAGTAATTAGGCTCCCTTTGCAGAGCTGAAGAAACCTCTGTGTATGCTGCTGGAGCACGCAGAGAAGCCTCTCTGAATGGTCTTTAACAAAGGGTGGTGGAGCATCAGTTGATATCTGGACTTCAAAAGCAGGAGATTCAGAAGAGGATCTGGCAGCTTAGCCTTTGGAGGCATCAGAAATCAAGAATCTGGGCATGTAGAATGCTCTGTAAATCTGGGTTGGATTTATGAACAAAGAGCCAGCTATCTTTTTGTTACTGCTATGCTCAGGAAACAAAATGACCCTTACAGTCTTTGTGGATAGAAATATCTGCCTTGTATCTCAATTTCTTCTCCTTGCAAATGGGAACCTGCAAGGCAGGATTGCAGTTTTGATGCGATATAGAGTGTGATCTGAGAGGCTTTGTTGCTGTTAATTCAGGACTGTTCCCGGTGTGAGGTGCATGTCCCTGGTTCCTCCACCACTGATGTTATAAGACCTGGGATGTAAGGAAGGACTTTGCTTCAGTTTACCTGCTAATCTTAATGCCTAGTCTGGCCTTTGTTTTCATTTAATCTGGAGCATTGTTGCCCTTTGAAACATATTGCTGTGATTTAGCTTTTTAAATAAATTCCTCAGGAATTAAAAATGCATTGATTACAGGCAAAACTTATATAGTGTAAGTGGAATTGTTATATTTTCATAACCTGTTTGAACCCTTTCTTTCAATTGAAATGGCCTATTTGCCTTCATGAGATATTGTGCTACAGACAAGATTTTAGATGGTGTTTTCCCATAACATTCATAGATGTCAGCTCCCTGTGGAAAAGAAGACTTTCCTCAAAACAATCTGAACCTCTCTCCTCCTAACCACAAGACAAAATGCTACAGAAAGACATATTTTTATTGATTTTTAATCTTGAAAGAATTATAACATTTACTTGTATAGTTATTACCCTCAGTAATATGAAAAGGGATAGACAATCACTGATGCAAATGAGGGAAAAATACAGACTGAAAACAGGGAGTCTGGGCACTGCTACCAGGCTTGCAATGTGGCAACAATGTTTGAAAAGTGAACCCAAGAAGCTGAGTAACCACACTGGCTGTTAGCTCTTCCCAAGCTCTGATGTTGCAATAGCTCTGCTACTGTTAGCATTTCAACTAGTTCAGGTATGTCTGTTTATCAAGCTGCCATCACACCTGTGGGTGATAGTGCTGACATGCCTACAGATGATGGCAGGTCTGGTATTGGGAGTGAAATAGTTTTGGTGCCGAGCAACAAAAGAATTCATTGTCTGACATATCCCTGCTGATACCATGAGTGCTTTGGCACATACACAGGGACCTCACACAGAGGGACAGTGAGGACTGGAGGTTGATGGAGCAGTATAAGAAAAATAGAACTGTGCTTTGCATCTCTCTCTCATTCTGTCTTTTAACTCCAGTGAAAATGACATTATTCATAAAACTAAGACACATAGTGTCTCAAATCCAAACAGGTTTGTAATTTTCTCCCCATAAAGTACCTCGTTAATTAACTGAGAATGTAATTAGCTTTGAGTCAACATCTTTGTAAGCCTTGGCTGGACACTGGTATGTGCTTTACTGGCTAGAAATAAATGCTGTTCCTTTTACCCACATAGCATGCAATACTTGATATAATAAAGTTGGTATGTCTTAAACTTCATCAACCTTTCTGCTGTCTTTGTTACTGACTAAACATGTGATCTATCAGTTGGTCTTAAAGACCATGGACATGTAGAATATATCTGTATTGGGAACCTGAGGAGCATGTCTGAGCAGTCAGGTCTGAGTAAGATTCTCAGCTGCTTTCCAGCTTCACATAGGAGAGAGCTCTCAGGTTGCACTGCTTCCCTGCTGCAGGTGTGCACACAGGTGTACAGCCCGAATGGGACCTGCAGTATGTTTTCAAACTGAGGTGTATGGCCCAAATGGTACCGACAATATGTTTCAAACAGGTGCATGATCTCACTTACTGGGGGGCTTGGACCTGGGCTGTGTCTACACTGCCACATCCTAAGTGGGCAGTGTAGACACAGCCAAAGCTGAATTACCACAGGTCAGCTGAGCCACAGTAACTGACGTGGGACGTTAGCATGAACTTCAGTGGAAGAAGTTTCTATTAAGTTTCTTGCATTTGGCTTGGGCTAAAAGCTACTCAGACAATTAGTTGTTGAAACTCAACTTATATGGGAGACCTCATGTAACCTTCCTAAGCTTACAAATAACAAGAGCCAAAGTGTGTAACTGAAGGTATGGAAGTCTGCAGTAAGCATGTTAGTTTCTGAACTGTATCAGGTCTCACTTTCCTTGTCCAATGTGGTCCTTGGTTATGCCATGCTTATGTTGAGATGTGTCCATCAAGGTAGTCTAGCCAACTAACTGAAGATAGCCAGACATAAAGGAAATGCTAGATGGCAAGGGGAGTGATGTGATCTGGCCTGGCTGTGATGCTTCTAGGAGCTATCACAGATGGTTACAGCTTAAATAAGAATTAAAAGGTGAATCATGCCATAGACATTCCTATCATAAGGATTTTGACCAGCTTTTCACCAACATGGCCGAGCCTTTCTCATATCATGTCTTGATTAGGACTGAGAAGTGGTTCCTGTAAACATCCCCTGAAAGATGGTAAATACTTTGATGATAAAATTCAGTGGCTGTTGCCATAGACATAAAATGCTTCCTTTTGCTTTCCAAAGTGGACTATATAGTTTCCACAGTCATAAGACTGTGCCAAAAGCCCACAGCAGCTTTCAGCACTGACTTCTTCCCCAAAGCAAGGCCTGAACTGGCTCTGAATTAGTACAAGAAGCAAGAATGTTTAGGCTGACTATCTTTCTAATTAAAGTAATAGAGTATTTGGAAATTGGTTTGCCCATGCTCAGACTGTTTGAACAGAAATATTCAACATCAGAGTCCTCCAGAACAAGAAAGTCCACATGCCAGTGACGAGAGATCCTGTGAATCATCGCTGTTCACAAGATACTACAGGGCAGACCAGCACAGTCCTACTTCTTCGCTGTTTCTATGTCACTTTACCTGCTGAAGGCCTCCAAATAATTCCTCATTTGTTAAAATGGAACTTTAATTTAAGGCAAGACCATCTTAAGGCAATTTAATTTAATTTAAGGCACTGCCCATCTCTGCAAGATCTGCTAAGGACTCCGTTTAAACTGGGGGTGGTGGGAGGATAAGCAGCAGCGGCTATTTTGGAACTAGTGGTTAATGATTGATTACATCCTGCAGTCAAACACTGTGCTAGAAGTTTTTGAGTAATGCTAATACACAAAAAAGAAAAGGTTATAAGTATACTACATGGCAGATACACAACGCTGAACCTATTTGTTTTTTTAATAAAAAAAATTTACAAAATGTTTTAGTAAAAGAAAACTGTGCTAGAAATTATAACAGAGAATCAATGTGAAAGGACTACATTTTCCCAACTGCCATTAATTCATCAAAAAATCTGTACAAAATGTATTCTTCATTAATCCTACATGTAAAATAAAATATGCATGCTTGTTTGTGGATTTTATATATTCAGGAATATGTCGGCTAAGTTTAATAAATTATTAAATTACAATTATTAAAGCATAAGCACTAATATTAAAGCATGAGCATCTTTAAAACTGAATCAGAATTTGATTTTACAATATAACTAATGTGCTGCAAAATATCAATAACCAAGAAAAGCTCTAGAAACATGAAGTTAGTAACTGACTAAGGATCTCTTTGGAAACTTTAAGTTCCCCTGGAAGCTGTCATTTTATAGCTTCTGTTTAAAGTGTTTATACTCAAGTCCAAGCTTGTGAATAATTTTAGGGCAGCAACACTGAAAAGAAGAAATTATAACAAGCAAACTCCAACTAGCATGGCTATTATGAGTGATCATCCAAAAGGTATATATCTTGTTAGAAACTGCAGAAGTATTTATCTAAACACTCTTGAATGCTTTTCATGGAACAGCAACAAAAATAACATCAAACAGTATTTCTAAATAAACAAGCATATTTTTTTTTAGGGATTGGGTTTTAGGAGTTGTTTTTGTTTTTGTTTTTGTTATTTTTTTTCCATTTTTAATAATCACACCCTAGAAATAAGCCAAGGCAAAGGTCACTTACCTCTTACATGGACTAGAAGAAAGCCAAGGCACAAAAGCAGGATAATTCTGAATTTCCCCATGGTCTTCTGTGCAGTGCCTTGATTGCACTGGCTGTTTTTTTCCAAAAAATGATGGTAGATGTTGCAATTGCAGTGCCAGGGTTTGCAGGGGACGCTTGGAATCAGTGGCTCTATCCAAAGAGTTCCCTCACCATCACACTCAAGCACCGAGGAAGAGAGAGAAGTCCCTAAAAACCTCTTCTAGTACAAGGTAAGTGATGAAAGCAGACGGCCCTACTACAGCCAAGCTGTGCACAGCACCGTAGGTGCCACCTACCCTCTGAGAAATCTATTTATCGCCTGGGCAGGGAGTGTGGAGAGCTGGGGAACTGGCGGCAGCACCCAATGAGGAGGGAGCCAAAGCACCCTGAACCCACCTCTTTCCCAGAGGGAAAGCCAACCTGTTTGACATCCTTGCCTTCAAAGCAGGGTGTGGTGCTTTGGGAGCTCAAGCAGCTTGTGAGACGAGACTGGCCTTCTCTGAAGCGTACTTGAAAAAAAACCTCTCAGATATACTCTGTCCTCACAGCAGTGCTTCCCTGCTCGGTTTTTGGCTGAGCAACAACTGCTGATAAAGAGAATCCTGTCAGAGTCCTAACTGCTAACTCAAGCCGCTGAGCGAGGGAAGTGGAGGCCAAGATCTGCTTTGCAGAGACTTGGGAATTGTTTACACAGGGATGACAAAACCCCGATTTTATAAATTTAAAATGTGATTAACTGCAGGATGCTCAGCTCCCTGTCAGATGCTTATCTTCACAAGGTAAATGTTGTCTGTCATGGGTTTTTTTCCATTTATATATTTTAAGATATAAATATCTGTGCATATCCTACATGAAGAGAGATCTCAGTGCCAAGTGAGAGAACACAAAGCTTTGGAAAATGAACAAAAGTCATGCATCCATCCATACATAAACATACTTTAAAATCACTGATGAGATTTAAATCCAGTTTTGTTATAGCCTCTCTAGCAAACACATGTGCCAGTGCACTTGTCTGTTGAACTGGGCTGCCACTGTCACACTGGCGCCAGGCGCCAGCAAGGAGACTAGTGTGCACCCTCCCTTTTGCTGGGGGGTAAGCTGCGGGCGTTTTTGTCAGCGCTGTTTTGGCTGGGGCAGCACATACTCTGTTGCCATGAATGGCCGATCTGCAGGCTTGTGGTGTTGCAGTCTGATGTGGGGCACAGGCTGGCCCCAAGCACATTTCTGTTGAGTTACTGACAACATACAATACAGTGCGTGCACTGAATTCATGCTTTTATGCCAACTACAAGAAAACTGGTGCAACAACATAAACTGGACTGATATTGCATCTTCAAGAAGCTTGATGTTCAAATAAGTTGTCTCCCCTCCACCCAAATTTGAGCCAGTAGAATGGTTTCTAAAGGCCTGCCTTATTGTATCACACGGCTGAACTATTTTTAAGCTAGTAATAGAAGCTCTAAAGCTCAATTTATGTATCATCATTCTCCCTGTCAGGGCCAATTGCTCAATCTCAGAAGAGTCAAGGACACTTAGGTTTAAGAGGGGACTTTGTCAGCCAGTGAAAACAAGAATTATACCATGACAGAAGCAATCTTGTAAGTCCACTCTTTATTTTTTTCCAGAATAACAAAAGCAGGCACACATGTGCTAATCTTTGTATCAGTGATGAATTTGCCTGGAGGGAAGAGGAAAGTTAGCAAGGTTATGTACTAGTCCCAGGCAAGTCGAAGCAGCTCCCAAATGTTCAGTAGCTTTGCTTCAAAACAGTTGTTCTTGTAAGTGAAGTCTTCCCAAGGAGATTCCAAAATGCTTTATCTCACCTGTCTAATATTAGTTCACTGGGATACTGAGGATTCTTAAACTAAATTTGAAGACGATGCACCCCTTGTCTAGTTCTTCTGAAGCCAGCTACTGCTGTCTAGCTAAATAAAAAAAAACATGAAGAAGGCACAGGAAAGGCAAACTGAAAGAGTGGACCTTTCATTGGAGTTGGGATGTCTCCAATACTTATCTCACTTCTGTTCTTGGGGCATTGCAGGAACTTCTTAATCTCAGCTCCCTCTGTCAAAGATACGCAAGTTATTGCTTGACATATCATACAATATTATATATTAAAAACAAATGCAAGGCCTTACACTTGACCATAAATTGCAATTTTATCCCTTTGAGAAATCATTGACTGGTCATTTTCTATTTAAAGGTAAAACAAAGTTCTGCTTAATATTCACCTGACAAGGTGGATGACTTGCCAAATTTTATTTACATTTTCTTTCAAGAAAAAAACCCATATATTTAAGAAATAGCAAATGGGTGGAGAAATGGAGCCAGCGTGTCTGTCTGTTCTCTAAACAATATACTTGCAGCCCATCAGGCCTCTTTTAGATGAGACAAGCTAAAAGAGAAGAGGACAGTTGCAGCTCACGACAGGTGCAGCCCCACCCTTCTTGCGGGCAGAGATTAGACATTACTCTCTTTGGCACAGATGACCTGCTGTATGAGTCTATGAAAGAACCAAATTATACATTAGAACTACTGTGGAAAGCCATTAATATCCTAGAGTATTCATATTTTGTCATAAAACTAGAAGTATTAATTTAAATATTGAAATATCTGGTAATATTAGACATTAATTTAAATATGAACTAAATACACAAGTGAATCAGTGATACAATTTCTTGACAACAAAATAATACAATTATCAGAGGAGGGCCACTAAATTGGTGAAAGGCTTAGCGGGGAAGCCGTATGAGGAGAAGCTGAAGTTGCTTGGTTTGTTCAGCCCGGAGAAGAGGAGATTGAGGGAAGATCTCACCGCAGTCTATAACTTCCTCGCAAGGGGAAGAGGAAGGGCAGGTGCTGATCTCTTCTCTCTGGTGACCAAAGATAGGATCAGAGGAAATGGCAGGAAGATGTGCCAGGGGAGGTTTAGGTTGGACATGAGGAAAAGGTTCTTCACCCAGAGGGTGGTGGAGCACTGGAACAGGCTCCTCAGGGAGGTGGTCATGGCACCGAGACTGACAAATATTCAAGAAGCATTTGGACGTTCTCAGACACATGGTCTGAATCTTGAGACAGCACTGTGCCAGGGCAACAGTTGGACTCGATGAATCTTGTGGGTCCCTTCCAACTCACAACATCCTATGATTCTATGACTACACACTAGCTAAAACTTCAATGGTTTTCCACAAGCAGATGGAGAAATATGCATTTTAGTATTTTATCCTTGTGGTTCTTAAAGTACTCCAAATACAGGGGTTTCAAAAAATTGTATTTTTGCTCCAATCAAGTGTTTTTCCTATTCCTAATCACCTCTTCACTTTCTTTCAAAAGTGTCTTTTCTATCTGCATAACAGAAAAGAATAAAAGGAAAATAATCTTTTCAGTTTATGAAAAGGTTAAGGTTTGTTTCATAATCTTGTCAAGTGAAAAACACACAGACAATAGTAGTTTAGACAGTCACCTAAAATAATCAGCGAGAAAAATACTGAAATGGACAATTGGGGGTGTAATTCAGCCCAAGGTACACTGAAAGTTGAGTGCACTAAAAAGTTTTCCTTAGCATTCAAAATCTGGCACAGATATTGAAATGAGCATGAAAAGGAGCTACAGTAAAAAGCTGCCAAATTTTATGCCTAAGAATCACCTGCTTTCATTTCCACAGCCCAATGAATTTGTTTGGATAAGTTTGGAAAAGTTTAGATAAGTATTTGAAATGGACATCACATTTGAAACAAAATATTTTTCAAGTGGACCTTTTCACTGATACTTGGGTGAATTAAATTGCCAGCTCAGCTCCCTTGCAGAAACTAACGTGACACAATATTCTACAAGAAGATCCTGCTTTGCTTTTCTCCTCCTATTGCTAAAGGTAACTCCTGCTCCTCAAAGGAGGTAGACTGGAGAAAAACCAGAACTGAACAGAGTGTGCCATAGGAACAGGACAACGCTCTTTGTTGCCACCCATTTTAACTCAGTTTAATGGTGAAGGTACCTCATCAGGTGTGCACTTAACAGTTTGGGCCTGGAGAGGGTAATAATTTTTAATCCCACTGCACAGTCTGATCAAAACCTGTATGGAAACAGGAATTAATGTACTAGAAATTCCCAAATTAGGATCTGAAAGTCACCAACAGCCTGTAAGGGCAGCAGCTGATCCATGGGAGATGAACATAAAAATACTTCAGTAGGGTGAGGAATAACTGTTAACTGATCATGTTTATTGACCCAATTAATGTGAGAACTAATGAATTAGGATATTTAGTTATGCAATGCAAGAGCAGTTGAGCTAGGAAGGCCACACGATTCAAGACTCAGTGGGTAGTGAGGCAAGTAGCAACACAGCAATTAATACCCTGACAACTGAAAAATAAGCAAACTGCTACTTTTTATCCACAGATAAGTAACAGAAACTCATAAATAGGCAGTTTCTTGTTCACTGCAAAAGAACAGTCTGAAATTTCAAGCCTTCTCTTTAATAATTTCTTCCTAGGTGGCAGCAGCCAGTCTTTCTTCCTTCTCAACACACTGTTACTAATTACTTTCATAGCTGTGCAAATTCTCAGTAGATTCTATGTTACCAAATCCAGGTGTTCTTCAAAAGCCATGCCTGTCCTTCACAAAGATAGATGTCTTCTCTGCACTTTGCACTGGTAAGCACCCTGTGAAAGCTGCTCGCATCTTTGTTGCTACTGGCCAACTTCCTTCTAAAACAATCAAAATGTCTGTAAGAAATAAACCTGAACTGCTGCTGGAGCAGGAAGACAAATTCCCTTTGAAGATTGCTTCTCTGGTAGAACACCAAATTTTTTGTATTTGTAGAGCCTCTAAGAAGAAAAATACATAAACATTTACTTTTTTTTACATTTATTTTTAGAAAAATCACAATGTTGATAGGAGGTTTTAATAAGTAATTTTTAGGCTTGCAAAAGCTGAAGAAGAATTAAAGAGTCTGGTTAGCTAAAAGCTAGTTTGAGTTTCCCCTGCCATTCTATCCCTAACAAACACTGGTTTATTTCTGTTTTCTTTACACTTGGCATTGATGTGAGATACCTGTTTATTCATGCAGGTAAGCAATACATTTCATCTCTTTGTATTTACATAGATCAAATGTTTATATAAAAATCGATTTTCCACCCTCAAACACACTTAAAGTTTTTAGCACTTTTATACTAAAAGCAGAAGTGTGGCAAAAAGAGGTTTCCTAATTAATTCCATAACAAAATACTAATATCTATGTAAAGCTTTGTTGCAAGCTAAGAAACATGTACAAGAAATTCTTAAATGAATTATCCTTGGCATACATTCATATTTGAATGCACAGATATATTTACATGTTTAATATCCAAATTCATAATGACTTCTAAGATGTTCCATGAAATGGCATCTTTCTGTAGAACTTTGCTAGGTGGCTGAAGCACATTAGTAAGACACATGCTGTAAAACTGCATGAAAATTGGAAATAATTAGAATGAAAGCCAACAGAACTGGTCAGGTTATTCCTCCCAGACAGAACTAGCTATTATTCTAGACTTAGTCCTTTAAGTGTTATGAGTTGCACAGTTTACCATGTTTCCACAGATACTTGAAACCTTCCTGTGGCTTTCAAGAGCCACAGCAAAGCTCACAAGTGCTTTCAGTGAGGATGTAATCATAGGTCCTCATCCTGATGGCAATCCTTCACAAGTCCAAAAGCATTCTTCACACATATGCTATTTATACTGTTCGATGGATGCTTGTGGAGTGAGGCTGGGTTGTTCCAGTCAGTTGTGCTACTATGTACTTTCAAACTGTAGTACTGTTTCAGTCTTCTAAGTGCGTATGGTGAGCCTTCCGAATTCAAAGTATCACATTATTGTCTGTTAAGGTTTGGGTTATGGAAGTCTGAAGATGTTAATCCCCACTCCCCAATACTTCATCCACAACTGTTCAGACAACTGCTCAACATCAATCTCACCAGATGTACTCAATGCAATTGCAAATCAGGCTTTTCTACATCTGACCAGCTCAGTTCTTGCTAAGCAGGAAGGGTCAGAAAGGATGAAGGGTCTGTGTGCACTAGTTTGGGTGTTCTGAATCTGTACCAGACAGATGCAATGAAAAAAATGCAAAACCAAAACTTTGAATTTTTGTCTCTTGGATGCTCAAGAACAAATATCCATTCTGTGGTGGCTGACCCAGGCAGCTACATGGATTATATCAGCAGCACCCACACCCAGATCCATTATCCACACACACAGAGCCATTTGCTTTCAGGCGCCCACACCATATACAAAGTTGTTTGATTGGTACACTCACTGCATACAGGATACTAACAAAATGTTTGCACTGCCTGAAAGCAATGGTGTAACAAAACATTAATTGCTTGTAGTTTTTGGAGACGTAAGGAAAAGTTAAATTCACTGAATGCACTTGAGACATACCCATTTGTCACAGGAGTACAGGAAAGAATGTAAAGGCACAACATACTTCTACACTCCTGTCATTAAGGCCTTATATTGGTGTGCAACAATGCTTCACAGGGCTAACCATACAGAAGTACTCAGGTCTAAGTCACACTCCCAGAGGTGTTTCCAACAAGAACTGTTTTCTCATGCAACTTCAGACACTGCTTTTATATTATGCTTTGTTTGTTTCCTTGGTTGTTTTTTTTTCCCCCCCCAGGCAGAATGCAGGCTCTCTATCCAGTTTCAATGGTCTGTTTTTCATCATGTTTTCTTTAATTTACTTCTCCAGAAGTATGCGCTGAACTAAAAAGTGAAAAAGATTAATACACTAAGTTAGTACACATTTTAAGTTATGGATTACTATGTAACAGTATGTGTGGACAACAGATTTTTTCAGTAGGCATTTGAAATTGTGGGAACAGGCTTGTGTTTTCATAACTGTCTTTAATAACACTTTTGCAGAGAAAACTCAATTCTTTACATTATTTAAACTTCTCTATTTCAAGGACTTCTCAAGGCAATAAATGAATCTGTTCAAAGAATAAAAAGCTAGAGAAGAGTGGCCACATTATCAGGACTGAAATCTTGATTCAGTGCTAAGTTACTTGTAATGGTAGTTAAAACATCTTTTTTTTTGAAACAAACCAAAACAAAACAGTGCAAGTAATTTTCTCCACTATGACAGATGTCAATAAAGTGCATTTAATAGGATCCCCATCAAAGAACTGATGTTCCATCTAGATTCTTCTCTTACCAGGTGGCTCAGATTGCGCTCCCTGATGGCTTTCCATATTCACATTCTCTTCATCTGCTGGGAAATAAAGATGTTTAGCATTCAAATTCTCTTACCTTTAAAGTTGTTGATGAATATACATAATTTAGGAGAAGAAACAGCACTGAAGAAACTGGGCTACTGATAGCAGCTGAGGTTATCTTGTGCTGCTTGCATGTTAATTTTAACGTGCATGGTAGATGTTACAAAGTTTCCAAACTTCCCAAACTACAAGACAGCAGTGCCTTGCTGGATTGCTGCTCTATCATCTCCCTTCAGGAATCAGTCAGAAATATTAGAAAGGACAAAACCAAAGCTTCTTCCCCACCTATCAGCCATAGTACTCTCCAGGTTCTCTGATCCAAGTTATATCTTATTTAGGTGGAAAGGAAGTAGACAGCAAGCAACAGACAACGGGAGAAGAAAGAATCATTTGGGTATGAACATCTGGGCAATTGTCAGAAACCTAACATGTAGGCAAGCATCTTGTGAAGACACAAAGGCAAGATTTACAAAATTAGATATGATAAGCATGAAAATAGTCTCTTATTCCCAACCTCCGCTCAATTTTCCTTAAAGAAATGTTTTCTTACAGTCTCTCCTGCTTACTCTTTAGCAAGAAGTGCTTTTATTTTAAGTAATGTAAAGTCTTAAGTCTGTCTGCTTCTGAAAGTCTAAATTTTGAGTGAGGCATTCTTCAGACACCCTGTCTTAGATGACGAGTAAGAAAGGTTACTCCCTGTGAATACAAATTCACTGTGCTATTAAAACTACCTTAGCATAAGCTCAATTTCTAGCCCCCATATAAATACAAAAACACATCTCCTCAGACAGTAGAAAACAAGACTAATTTGGAATTCTTACCGCTTTGTTTGAAACAGAGTTTCTTCTTCTGGTAAGCAATGAAACTAGATACTGCTCCAATTACAGTAGCAACCACAGCACTTACAATTCCAGCTATTGCTCCCTGAGAACCTGAAAAAAGAGGTTCATATATGGTTTTCAGAATTGAAAGCAATCTCAAACTTGTCTCAAAGTAAATGCTGTGAACACTTCCAAAAAACACTAAACTGAAATTATTACATGAAACTATAGTAATCAACTCTTTCTGTCTTTGTGAATAATGAAAAGTGAATCCTCTAATTTTATATCAAATTTTATTTTCTTAGCAATGCCTATAGTTAAACAACTTAAGCATGCCTGTTGTAAGTTCCACTAATTTAAAAAAGCTATCTTTTCATAGCGAAATCCAAGTTGTAGGCATGCAATCACTGCACCAGCACCTCTGAGACCTTAACACTTTTGAATCATTTGCAACATATAGATTTTAAAGAATTGTGAAAGCAGAGCTTGAAAGTAAGAATTCTAGATTCCACAAAAGTTTTAAAGCTGAAACCCACTACCAGCAGTGACCATTCTAGCAGAATACTAGCAATGTAGAAAAACCCAGCAAACAAGCTTCAGACATGCAGACACCATCATACACATAAATTTATGCATTTACCCTCAGCTTCTTCACCACTATTTGGATTTGGGCCCTTTCGTTCTGTAAAAATGAACAAAACGTTTAGATTTACATGTCTAAAGAACAGTCATATCATATTAGACAACCTTTATGTTAATTAACCATGTAAAATTACAAGCCATCTATTACATAGAGTACTAAGATCTCTGGCACTCAGACTTTCTATTTTCAAAGTACAGCTCAAGGCGATGCCAGCCTCAGCCTTGGGTGCTCAGCACTTCTACAAAATGAGTGCATCACACCTGTGAAATCTGGTTTAATCAACTTGTTCACCACCACAGAACACTCAGTGGAGAGGAACAGCATATAATTTCAGGGTAGCATTCAACCGTATTTCCATGGAACCAACTACCTTTTCCTAAAATCCCAGCCTCATTTACTAAATATTTTTGCAATTCTCTTAGCAAACGAGACAGAAGTTCTGTAAATACTAGCTTTATTCGGCACTATGCAACTTGCACCACTGAAGCAGGAACCTGTGCAGATAAAAACACCAAACAAGTCTCAACAGATGCTTCTTGCCTCTGTGAATTTTCAAGTTACTGCCCCAAAGGAACCTTGGAAGGTGAAAGCTTCCCCAGAAGTTAGCACCAGTAATCTCTGCCTGGGACAACTCTCTGAAGAAGTCAGTAACCAGCAGCATGTCTCAACATCATCTCAAGATACTTAACCTAACTCTGACCCGGGAATAGTAAAGGGCAGTAATGCAGACAAGGATGACTAACCTCATCCAAATTACTGCAGCTTTGTCCCACAGCTCTGTACTGAGCTGTGCCATAACAATTAGATGTGGCAGATTACTCAAGACAAGTTCGGTTTTTATACTGCTGAGAGTATATATAACCTACATCACTTGGAAGTCTGAGGATCAATTAATCGTGTGGGACAGATGAAATCTTTGAGAACACAAAGCAAACACTCTTCTGGCCCACCCCTGGGCTTCCTAACAACAAGAGCTAGAAGAAACTGAGTATGTCACAGAAGATATGAAACACCTGGATGCCTTTGAGAACAATATTCATGGTGAATTTTGAAATAAGTACCACATTCCCATCTCAGTTTTAAAACCCATCTTTCTTAGTATAACAGTGAAAATCTTTGAAGGTTCCTAGACCAGTTTTACTTTTTAATTATCTGGGGGGTTTTGGTAGAGACAGAACACATTGCTTTTGAACTGGAAGGTATCCTTGTAAGTTTCAGATACCAGAACCAAAGGTGTTACAAGTTAGACCATGTTAACCAGCTTATGAGCAAGCTTTTTTCAAAAGCTGAGGTTGTCATAGGACCAATATGAAGCACCACCTACTGTCTTACCATTGCTGCCACTACCATCGCCTCCCCCTTTTGGTAAACTGCCATCATATAGATCTGAATCATCAAAGTTGCCTATAAAAAATAAAAATAATATTATCTTACATGTTTTAAGTTCAGTGAAAAGACACCTCAAGGTACATAATGACATAGAAGTTTTCTCTAGATCGTTCATCTGAGTTTGTGGTAGTTTTAGGCTCAGTGTCACAGTCACAACATGCTCATGTTTCAAAAGCCCTCCCAACCTCAAGTCCCTTCAGCTTGGCACTATACAGTTTGATAGCAGCACTGCTGCCTCTGGACTTCCCAAACAACTGAGAGAATTCAGTGTCCAAGAGCAGGTAGCACTGCACAAGCCATAGGCTAAGCAAGCAAGAAGCCCTGTAAGCTACTTAAGTGGAACAGCCCAAGTCTCACTATCCTGTTAAAACAGAAAAAGGACATAGACAGGAAAGGACCATTTATTTTCAAGGCTGCAGCTGTGAATGTTTCTTCAGAGCTGGGTTTCTAAGTGACAACCAATCTTTTGAACCTGAACAACATAGTAGCTAGAGGAGGGGGGAAAGAAAAAAAAAAAAAGAAAAAAAAAAAAAAAAAAAAAAAAAAAAAAAAGAGTTCAACATGCTACAGTCCAGTGGCTGTAGTATTTGCCTAACAATGGGAAGATTCAAATGTAATTCCTTCCTCTAATTTATTGCAGGACTAGTTCAACTAGTCCTTCTCCATTTCCACTAGACCCTACCTCATGGGGTCTGAGTTCTCCTCCTTCCTTCTGTTGCCAAATGAATCTTTAGCTTACGCAAAGCAAATCTGCTTCAAGCAGAAAAACTAAAAGCCTTGCATCAGAGGACGTTTTAGCTGGGTGGAAAAGGCACTCTACTGAGGCATGCAAGAATTCAAATATCTGCTGAAAGTCAGGCAGGAGAAGGAACTAGAACCAGGGCTTGCATTTCAGGTAAGGGCTCTACCATCATATTCCTGGATAATGGCATCATCACAGCTGCATCCTGTTTTGTTCTGAGTTAGGCAAAGACAGAGAACACCTCTAAAGCACAACAGGCAGGGAAGGACATGTACTTTGAGTCTACCTTTCAAACATAAAATAATTATATTTCTCAACTTGGGCCTTTAAAATAAAAACTAAAAAAACAAAACAAAACAAAACAAAAACCTCTTTAACTTTGAGCTCTACCTTTAATTTAGATGCCTTAAGAACACATTTCACAGTTAGCTCCTACTGACTTTTTAGCATGACTAGCAGGGACTCAGTTTGTGAAGATGACGAGACCCAATCCAATACACAGGTGTTCCACCATGCTCCACAGCCCTGCACCAAGCACACACATTGTCCCATCCTTCCTCTTCCCCACACCATCCCACTTTTAAGTAAAAGGAAAGTGACTCAACAGGTTTGTTATAGAATTTCAAGATTGCTGCAAAGCTTATTTGCAAGACAATTTTTCCTCAGTCCTCAGTGTTTATCCAGTTTATCCATCTGACATACATAACAGCCAATTAACAAGGTGTAATTATTATAAGTTTAACTAAGAGAGTAAAACCACAATTCAGCATTTTGTGCTAGAAGCCTTACCAGTACGTGTAGGTGGACCTTGCTTGGGGTTATCTACATACAAAAGAGAGATTTAGGGAAAAAAAAAAAAAAAGAAAAAGGTTAAGAGATCAAAAGCAGACTACAATACAATAACTTTGAAAGGGACTAGGAAAGACTAACAAATACTTTTCTACTGTTCAGAAATTCCTGTTAGGTCAGTCTTACCTGTGCCTCTGGGATTTCCAGGTGGACCTGGCTTGGGGTCATCTGTAGACAAATAAAAATAAAGTGATCAAAGTTACTAGTGTGAAGAGACCAAAACCAGAATATATAGTGACCTTGAAAGACTATCTTCCCCATGTCATTTTCCTTTCATTAGCTAATGCTATATTTGCTTGGTTATTTTAGGTTAAGCACTGTACTTCAACGCAATTAACAGTGCTTCTGCTACATTAGCCTGTATGTCAGACCCTTGCTATAACTGAGCATACACAGAAGAACTCAAAGTGTTATGCAGCATTTTAGCTTGCACACCTGATTTCAAATGCTGAATTTCTTCACATTTTGCTACCAGGTACAGATTACTTGGCTGTTTCCTCTTTTAAAACTAACATATTTTAACCAATAATAAAGGTTGGCACCTCACTGGAAAAAAAAACAAAAAAACAACCCACAAAACCAAACAAAAACAAAAACCAAAAGATACACATGACAGAACAAGAAATATGGTCCCCACAATGACATTTCATTCAGTTTGCCACAAAATAGGAGAATAAGAGATCTTAGTAATTCTCTCTGTACTGTTTGGTCACAGTCTTTGCTGCCCACATCTAATTAACACACCAGCAGTGGTTTTCTAAAACTGTATTTTCATCAACAGCTGAACCAATCCAGTGGCCCATTTCTCCTGTGTGCTACTTCTCCTTGATGTTGCATGGTCTTCCCACCTCCTAGCTCTAGCGCAAGTTAGATCAGGTCTCCTTAGGCTCTCTGTATATTTAAAGTAAAGAGGCAGGCACCTCCAGAGCACAGCTCTAAGACCCCAACATAGGATTGCCACCCTATAAAGGACCCTCTCTTTTCACTTACTTGAACCATCTGATTCATTTAGCCAACTGTTTCTCAATTAGCCAACTCTGATTTCAAAAATGTCAGCAGTTGGAAACGAACTGCTTTGAGAGAGACAAAACTTTGAAAGGCTAACTCAAACAGAGCAGCAAACAGTGCTACTGTCCTACAGGTGTATGTCCTGTGCTAGGAAAGCCACCTATACTGCAACAGATCTAGTGATGGTACTCAGAATCTGCCGGGCATTATCTGCCTAACTGGGTGCACCTTTTACTGGCCGAGTGAAAACAATACTGTAATTTCTACTGCTGCCCACACTGCAGAGCTGAAGCACATTAGAAGGTGTACCTTCCCTCATGTTATTTCAAACAGATTAATGCTTCCTTTTGTTACTAAAATTACTTTCTACAAAAGAAGAGCTTACTTCGGATTTAAAACTACTTTCATAAGTAATAGTTTATTGAATTAGTGCCATCTAGCGAAGACACAGCAATGAAACAAGTAGGACTTGGATAAATGAATGAAATATATACAGTTTTTGTGATCCAGACCCTTAAAATGAAGGTAAATAAACATAACCAGACTGCAATTGTTTTTATCTCCAGTCTGTTACCTTAATTAACTCAGTGTCCTTATAACATTTAGGTAATAAAGGATGGATAGACATTGCACCAAGTACTACTGAGCAGTATCCAGGAAAACATGATACTTACCAGGATGAAGAGCATGTTCCAAGCTGAAATCATCTACAAAAAAAGAGGGGAAGTTCTAAAGGTCATGCAAAAACTGAACTAGTTTTAGACTATTTCTACACAAAATGCACCTCACAATGTTTTCACCAATAATATAATGGCATGTTCATTCAGCAGTGGCCCATGGTAGAGCACTATAGAGCTTCCAGGTATTATCTATCAAACTACACACTGCTTTTGGTGATCATGGTACATGCCAAAGGCCAGCTCAAGGTGAGCAAGCTCAAAACATGCAGACTGAGAGCCAACAGAAGGGATTCTCACAGGGTCTTTAAGCCTGTGAAATCACAAAGTAAATTTGTGAAATCACTAGCAGAAGACTCCAAAATGCAGAAATTCTCTTGCTGTTAGGGAACTGCTTTCTTTTATAGAAATATCACAATTCTGTGTGCCACTAAATTGGAAAATTCAGGCTCTCAAATGAGTACGTACAACTACACTTGACTTCACAGTAAAAGGCATTACAAGCCAATTAGATCTCACCAAAATCTGATGGTGATGGCTTCTGAGATGGAAGAGGCTTCTTTGTAGTTTCTGTCAGGGATGGTTAGAAAAAAGAAGTTTAAATGCTATTTAATACACTGTTCAGAATATTCATGAAGGACAAATGTAAGCCTATGTCTGTACAATGAAAAGCACAAGAACAAGTCTGTACAGCAAGATATTTTCCCCTTAAGAGGAATACCTGTATGTTCCCAAAGATATATTTTAGTTCTACGCAGTTAACATTTTGACATACCCATAGCTGAATTGTTCCACTGAGGTTTAAACAAACCATACATGAGGAAGGTATCATGCTTGGTCAACATGGAAACGAACAAGTCAAAAGAGCAGCCACTATTTTCCTGTATACCTTCCAAAATTTGCACTTACCAAGTGCATCTTGTAAGCTGAAGTCATCAAAATCACCTGTAAAAGATGAAAGCAACAGTAAGAACACTGTTTTTTCTTACTCAAAACCAACATTTATCAGTCATAAGCATGTCTTTGATGTATCTTGAGGTGTTTTCTGCTTCCTGCATCAGACTAGAGGAATATTTCGAGTCAAGGCTGAAGACAGACATTCTTCTCTATTTCCCCAGACCAGCATTCACGCATGTCTTCAGAAAAAAAGGAACAACACTAAAAATTGTCTCTCTAGAAAGGATTCAGAGGGCCAGAACATGTATTCCGGCAGTCAATGTAATACACTTAATCCTTTATTCTTGCCACTGCTATTGCATACTTTCTTAGTGCCGTCCACAGCATATTCTTTCCCAGCCTTCTTTCCACTGAACCACAAAATAAGCAGGGGCACAGCTCAAATTCGCAACAATGTACAGGATTCAAGTGTGAAGAAGAGCCCTGGAGCACAAAGGCCAGTATGAAAGTTATATGATTGGGTAATGGATTTAATACTTTGGCATTAAAAATTAATTTTCTTGAGTTTATAGAACTAATCTTTTGCCCTAACAAAAGTTAGCAGTGTGAAGATGGTTAAGTTAATAGCACAGATGATCTTGAGCAGTCTCTTCAACTTCCTAAAAGACAGTTAAATGCAGCTGTCACCACTATGGGCTCTCCACTCCAGGTAGATTAAGTTTCATTTTCAGCCCTTAGGAAAAGAACATTCTCTCTTGCTGTATTAGGTCCTTTGCTAGAGCTACTGCTGCTTACCCAGTCAACTGCAAACACACTAACTCAATATATTCATGACACAAACTGGTTTCACAGCACGAATACAGTAGTGTGGTCTCAGCAGCAGAGGCTTGTAAGATAAATGGACAGCTATAACAACTGCTTGGGATATTTCTGATAGTTCATCATTTTTACTTTCACTGAAGCATGGAAAAAGAAAAAGGCATGAAAGTAGATACCAGCTATTCAAGAAAAAGACATCCAAATATACTGCTCCAGCCTCAAAGAAGCCTGAAGACTTTTTCTACCTACTGAGTATCAAGCCAGCCAGAGCAGAACTTGTTTCCAGACAGAGCTACCTTAATTCAGAAGACACACACATAAAGCATTGATATGTCTGGCTTTTCCTCTAAGATGTAGCTACAGAGGAGGAATCAGAACTGGCTACTGCAAAGTCTGAAGAGAGGAATAAAAACAAACATAAGAAATGAAACCACAAGCAGAATGTTCCTTCTCCTTCCATGACAGGCCAAGATAAGACAAAGACAACTCATGAGTCCAGTATCAGAAATAACAGATGCTCATCCACGTGATGACATCTTTCATCCCAGCCAAGGTAAAAACTGAAATCTCTCTCCCTTCTCAGATAACTGCACTAATAATGCCTTTTTTTCTTTTTTCTTTTTTTTCCAGAGAAGAAGTGAGACTAAGATACTTTTTTTTTTTTTTTAATATGGAAACAAGAAATGACAACTGGAATTAAAAAAATCAAAGGCAAGTTTGCAGTCTCCAGAAAACATCCTGCAAACTAGCCTTCAGTCTGGTCAACTGAATTGCTACAGCAGAACCTGAAATCTGAAGTTTAAGCAGAGATTCCCACACTGCAACATTTGAACTGAGTACCACCTTGCTCATAGCCAAGCAGGGAGGTAGCACTGCTTGGTCAGTGACAGGCCCCTTCAGGGAAACAGAGGCAATTCATGGCTTTATTGTGCTACATGAGCAAAGTGTATGTAGAACCTCCTGGATAAAGCAATTAGGCATAGATCTTGGATAGAAAGCAAGAAGATACTTTACTTGGTGTTCTTCACTCCAGGTGGAGATCATAAGCTCTTTTACATATTTAGCTCATGAAAAAACTGTTTCACAGAATGCAAAGTATTTGCAGGTCATTTATCTGAAGCCTGTACAATCTTACAATACAATCTGAAAAGCCTCAGTAAAAAGATCAGTTGCTAAGACCCAAGTCTCAGTTACCTCTGAAGTTGTCCCTTTCTTTAGACTGCACCAAGAAACCTCCATATTAACAGGCAAAAAAGGTCAAAACACTCAAGAGAAATTTAAACAGATATTTGCATAGTTGTTCTTCAAACTTTAATTCTGGATTGGGTTTTTTTGTCAATTACATACATATCTCAGGCTACAGTCCTCCAAGGAGGAATGCCTGAGTCAGGACCTGCTCAGATATTTGCTAGTCTAACTCTAAAAAGGCAGGCAGAAGGATCTGTTGAAGATGCATGCTCCTCAAAACACTCTAGCAGAGTAGCAACCAGAGGATGGATCATCACCATCTGTTAACACCATCTGTCTTGAGGTTAAAGATACATCACTAAGTCAATGAATGTTACATTGGTGGGTGTATTTCAAGAGCACTATTCCTTTTTAGGAGTGGTAGAGGTTTAAAACAGGCACATATACTCAACAGAATGCTTTGGTGCAGCTGAAGTTTTACCTGGAGCAGAAAAGAGGCTATTTGAAGAGTCTCCTGCTGCCACTAAGAAACTTAGTCCGAGAATTCTGAATGGTTCCAGCTGCAGTGGTTTCCATCAAGAGGAGGAAACCATTTTAAAAGAGCATTCATTCAGTGACATTGCTATTTTAAGAGATTGTTTTCATATATGATCTTCATGGAGGAATAATTTATGATGAGACTGCTGACTGCCAATCTCACATAAGACATGCTTTGAGAGAGTCGTAAACAAATTTGAGAGGTAATTAAGGAAAAAAAACATTCTATATTGACTGCAATTATTCAATCTTCTGTAACAACAATTCTGTTTTCCACGCATGCAGCAAGATGTCAGGCTCTTCAAACACATTACTTCATGTCAATAATGGTAGCAGAAAATGTCAAAACCTAGTTTACGAAACTCATTACAATAATATGCAGTCTGAAGTGCTGGCAGTCTCCTTTCCCAGCAAAGAATGGTTGTTTCTCCACTGTTCATGACAAACCTTCATATGTTTTTAAAGCACTTGCTTTTACAACTGTGCTCACTCAGCTTTTAGTATGGGAGGGTCCAACTAAACTAGAAGTTCAATTACCCAGCCTGAAGGGAGCGGCTCAGAACCGGGGATTCAGCTGGTTCCAGGGAAGAAACAATCAGCCAACAGAGAAAAAACTATAGAGGTAGAATGAAGGTAGTAGCAGGGTTCATGAAGAAAAAGTCAGCAAGAATATGCTGCATTCCCTACAGATTTAAGAAGCACCCAGAGTAACTGAGCTTATGAGCGTTTTCTTAGTCTAAGCAAAGACAACTGCAAATTAAGCAGCTATTATGTTGTGTATAAAGCACAACATACCAGGCAATTTTAGCTCCTACAGGCACAAGCAGATTCAAGAATATTTCAGGAGTACCATTTTCCTTCCAGGTCCATAGCTCAAATACCAGGACCTCAAGAGACAGATCCTCAGCAGGCTGTCCCCAGTAACCTGCACAGCTGTATTAGATGGGGGAAAAACAGTAGCAAAAAAAGAGCAAACACAAGCTTTTGAAAAGCTGATGAGCTAGAGGGTATTAAAGACAGACAAGTACCTATGCAAATATGAGTCCTCTGCAAAGACACATCACTGCCCTCAGATGCTTACTGCTACAGTATTAGTCATATTTATATTCCATTGCAGAAGCCAACACGAGCTTTGGGAAGCTCCTCCACTAGTCATGTGTATGGCAACATACCAGGAAAGGAGACTCATGATGAATCACCACAACCATAACTTTTTGAGTAACAGACTACTTGAATTTTGTTTTTCTAAAAATGTTGGTGCTCTCCTTCCCTCCCACCCCAGCGCCCTGCACACCACAGGGTGTCATAGAGGCTGCATGCTGCAGCTTGTCTTCCAGTTGTAGGCCTATGGACCAGGTGATAGCAGTCAGCTTGTCCCTGCCCCACTGCTGGATGTTACCTGCCACTCCAAAAGTGGCCAACTAACTTATACTCATAGAATCACAGAATATCTTGAGTTGGAAGGGACCCATAAGGATCATCAAGTCCAACTCCCTGCTTCTCACAGAACTACCTAAAATTAAACCATATAACTAAGAGCGTCACCCAGATGCTCCTTGAACTCTGACAGGCTTGGTGCCGTGATCAGTCTCCTGGAGAGCCTGTTCCAGTGATCAAGCACTCTCAAAAGTGAAGAACCTTTTCTTAATGTCCAATCTGAGCTTTCCCAATGAAGCTTCATCCCATCTCCTCATGTCCAGTTGCGGGTCACCAGAGAGAGGCGATCACCACCTCCCCCTCCGCTGCCTCTCTTGACGAAGGTGTAGACTACAATGAGGTCAACCCTCAGCTTTCTCTTCTCCAAGCTGACCAAACCAAGTGACCTCAGCTGCTCCTCGTAGGTTTTGCCCTTGAGGCCTTTCACCATCTTGCTCCTCTTCCTCTGGACACACTCTAATAGTTTAACAGAATCACAGAATCCATTAGGTTGGAAAAGACCATTAAGATCATTGAGTCCAACAATGTGTTGTCCTTATATTGAGGCACTCCAAACTGCACGCAGTACTTGAGGTGAGGCTGCACCAGTGCAGTGTAGGGTGGGACAACCACCTCCCTCGACTGGCTAGCTGTGCTGTGCTTGATGCACCCCAAGATGTCTCTTTCGGCTGCCAGGGCACATTGCTGACTCGTGTTCAACGTGCCATCAACCCAGACTCCTAGATCTCTTTCTGCAGGGCTGCTCTCCAGCCTCTTGTCCCCCAGTTTGTATGTATAACCAGGATCATCCTATCCCAGGTGCAGAACCTGGCACTTGTTCTTGTTAAATTTCATACAGTTGGTGATTGCCCAGCTTGGGTCTGTCCTGCTGCCTAGCTGCTCATTTTCATGAAATCTGCAAAAATCTCGAGCTCAAGGAGGCCTCTCATCTCTGTAGAGTTTACATGAGGTTTGGTAGCCCTCTCAAGGGATAAGGATGCTGGTAGCCTCAAGGGCATAAACTCTTGGGCAACCAGGCAAAAAGCAGCTTCTCCAACTTCCAGTAGGAAAACTGTATTTTATACTCC